ACTTCTGCTGCACCAACAGTGGCATGCACACTGGAGAAATTAGGGCCCCGGAGGAGAGAGTGCCCGCGCTGCTGGGAGGACCCTGGGAAGGTATCCATGCAGGACATTCGAGGCCTGCAGGCTGAGGACAGGTGTTCTGGGTGGGAGGCAGACACCAAGGGACTCCTCTGCAGCAGAAGCATGTGGCCAAGCCAAAGAGGCCTGGAAGAGTGTGCCATGTTTGGGGAGTGGCCGAGTATGAGCACAGTCACTGTGCCGACCACAACAGCTTGCAGGGTGCTACTGTGCACCTGCACTTCTCAGTGTGCGTCTCTTTGCACAGACACATAATTGGTCAGGAGTCAAGGGAAACTCCTGTTAACACTGAGAAATATTTCTGTATTGCCGAGACATAGCAATCACTGTAAATGTCTCCTGGTAACTGCAGGTCAGCAAAAAATGGCCTTGTGTGTGGTCATGTGGGAGATAGATAAAGACCAGTAGTGTGCTCTCGGGGGCTGTGTTGTCACACCAAGAATCACAGGAAGCTTTAAATGCTTGCAAGCGATAGGTTAAGATAAGTATTGAAAAGCCTGGATACTTATCTGAAGGTTATCTGACCTTCCATAAGTAGGCTTTTTCACAAGATATAAGCACTTTCTCAAAATGCTAGGCTCCTTTTTTTTCTGTCTGGATGGACACTGACATGCAACTTCCTGTTCAGCAAGGCCTGCTCTTCCCCAGCATGCTCGGCTCCACTGGAGAACATAGGAACTCACCCATCACAGGCTGCAAAGCTCCCGCAGTGGCCTGGTTTGGGACAGGTTAGGCCTCATTTTATAAACACTGACATGCAACTTCCTGTTCAGCAAGGCCTGCTCTTCCCCAGCATGCTCGGCTCCACTGGAGGACATAGGAACTCACCCATCACAGGCTGCAAAGCTCCCGCAGTGGCCTGGTTTGGGACAGGTTAGGCCTCATTTTATAATGTACAACCTACCCGTCACGACAAACATTCACGGATTTCTATGCCATGGTTCAAGGTCCTTCCTTCTGCTCTAGATTTATTGTCTGGCTGTCTCTAGTGTCAAATAATGCCTCTTGTACACACAGCCCGATCGCACTCTCTCCTATTTCTCAGCCTGCTGAACAATTTCATCTTATTTTTCTGGCAAGATCTTCCCAGAGGCTAATTCTTGCCTGTGACAGTCTTGCAGTGTCCTCTACAGTTTTAGTTACAGGAGTTGTGTTGTGATCACCGTGCAAGGACTCTCCTGTGGATTTCTGGAGTGTTGGTGTCTTATGAAACCAGGTTATCACAAGCTCTTCCCTGTCATATGCTTTGTTTCTGTGAGAATGGTTGTAGAGAAATATGCTGCCAATGAAAAGTCTGTATGATTCTCCTTAATGACTAAAACACTCAGCTGCTGATGGGTGAAAATGGAAAGCAAATGTCTTCCAAATGCTCAAGCAATGAATGCTCTGATGATTTTCACCTAAGCATGCTCCTCTGTGTACAACAGTAACCAGAAGTTCAACTGTTTGTTTTCATGTGTTTTTAATAGTAAAAAAATGTCCATTTTTTTTTTTCTGGCTGATAGAGTTAAGTTTCGAAGGCATTTGGAATCAATAGGTGTCTCCCCCAGACCCAGCTCTCTCTTCTTTTTAGCCCCTCTCCACTTTTCCTTTACCTTCATATCTAACATGCAGACAAGATGGCCCGCAGATAAATCACAGCTGAAGTCAGCCTGAAGTTTGCATCCTGGCAATGAAAAGTACCCAATCCCCCACCTTGGTCTTAAGGAACAAGATGTCAGAGATGACGCTTCGTCCCAATGTGTAGTGGATTGAATTATGTCCCCCAAAACTCACTGAAGCTTGAATTGTGTCCCCCAAGTTTTATGTATTGGAAACTTGGTCCCCACTGTGACTGCTAAGAGGGTGGGAAATCCTATTATGGTAATTGAAAGGTGGAGCCTTTAAGAAGTGATTAGATTGTAGGGCCATGCCTAGTGAATGGATTAATAATGATGGTCAGGGGCATGGTTCTGACGGCCTTAAAAGTAGACGACAGTCAGGTTAAAAACAAAATGACAAAGTTACAAGTTCAATGGTGAGGGTCTAGTTTTAAATAAAATGATTCTCAATAACTGTTTAAAAATATTTCTTTTTCTAAGATGAAGGCTTTTTAAGAATGATTATTAATGGACATATAATAATTACAGGACCAGGACAGAAATGCATACTGTGATTTATGAGACAGTTTTTCCACAGGCAAATTTTAGATTTTGGTTTGTTTGTTTTTGGTGTCTGCCTGGTATGGGGGGAGGAACCTTTAACCTTGGTGTTATCAGCACCACACTCTAACCAACTGAGCTGACTGGCCAGCCCCAGCTTTTAGTTTTCAGATGGAACTCTACCCTTGCAATGCTCTTCCTTGTTTTTCTGTGTCCTTTTGAGAATCTTGTGATGGATGTGAACCAATCCGCCAGAAAAGATGCGCATCCATGTGTAATTCTGCACACAACTTCTGGAGGGCTCTGGAGTACTGACATCCTTGGTGAATACCCTGAGGGCAGGTACATGGGCCCATGGTTAAGAATTCCTGTTTTCAAGCCTGGGCCATTAAGAAGTTCTGAGGATTCCCCATCTTCAAATGACACTCTGGCTTAACTTGTCTTCTGCGACCAAATTCTAAATCTAGCTTTCCAAGTACCTACTATGAATGGGTTTCTTAAGATGCTTAGTTTCCTGCCTCCTCATATAATCTGACCAGAAAAGTGTTAGAGGAGTTTCTTTATCTGCCATTCTCCCCTCACTGTGGTTTACAGGAACTCATTGCACACTGATCACCAACCGCCTGTTGAGCTGCTCCATCTGCTGGATGGACCCCGATCTCCGCATCCCGTCTGGGGTGGCTGCTGCTGTCGGACGCTGCCAGGTGGTTGTGCGGTTCACGTGGTCCACATAAAAGACCCGCCCATGGCTGTCAATTCGAGCTTCCCAGTCTAGTGTTTAATAAAAAGGCAAAAAGAAAAATAAGGACAAACTACTGACCCGTGTGAAACAGATCCCACTTCCAGGTCTTCTGCAGGTAGAACTCACCGTTGGCCAGACACCACCCACTGCACCTGCCACAACTTCTGGGGCACTGGCATGAAATTAGACATTCTAAAAAAGAGCTTAATAAACTCAGATTCTCTGCTCGGCATTTTAAACAGTAACTATAGTTCCTTGAATATAATCTATGCTAAAATTCCCAGGATTTCTAAAGAGAAAGCCTAATGCTTAAGTTATTTCTTTCTCAAAAAATCTTGTTCGCTGCTCAGATAACAGCTGGGGAGCAGTGGAACTGTCCCCCAGTGACAGCAGACACGGTGATGCTAGAGGAGTCTTTATTTGCTAAATCTAATGGAGGGAATAATGGCCCTCATATCAGAACCAGTTTAAACTACAGTCTTAAAACACTGCAGGTACAACTTTAGGTGACCTCTATCTAATGCATAGCAAGCTTCCTTGATTGCCCTTCCTGTTGAGTAGATGAATGGGAGGATCTTGACACCTGTCATTTCAAAGCATCCTTTTGATAAGTTGTAAATTCCCAGCACATATTCAACCTACCTGTGTGTGCCAAATATCTCTGACTCAAACCAAACCAAACCAATAACAACCATTAACAAACATCAAACTTTTAAAACATCTCTTTGCTGATAAATAACCATGCCAAACAGCAGAGGGAGCCCGAGATACAGATAAATTCCTTTGCTTCCCAAATTGAAAACAAAGCACAACGAAAATGAAAACCAGAAGGCAGAAGCACAGATGATGCACTACATAATCCATGTGGGAGCTGGGGTGGGGAGAAGGGAAAGCCTCACGACGGAAAGAGCTGGAAGTAACGTTTTCACATCTGAGCCCAACATGCAGAGCAACGTTTGCTGTGACAAATGAACGGGCAAGGCTTTCCGAGTCCACGCTCAAAATGTGGTGGAAGCAGCAGCACCATGAAAAAGTTAGGCTGGAAATGAGTTAGGCTGAAGAAGTAAAAGCAAAAATGACTGTGAAGGGAGGAAAACCATTCAGCCTTTTAAATGAGAAAAGCCGCAGCTTTTGCAAGTAGGTCAGATAGTAACAATTCTGTTGAAAAGTGACCATTCAGGTAATGACATAGCAACTCTGGATTTTTTTAAATGAAGAAATATATTTGGTTTATTTATGGCTTTATATGTACATGGTATATCTGTTTGTGAATATTATGGCTTATGTCTGCCCTGAGGAATTGCCAAACAATGTCCAATGAGAACCAAAATACCAGAAAACACCAAATTTAACTTTATAAAGACAAACTGAAGAAAAAAATGCGGTCAGATTGTATACGTATGTTCTAGAGGTTTTGATTAAAATTGACTATTAGATAATCCAGATATCAACTGTTAGTTGTAAATGTTAATTAGCTCATTCAAAAAATTGTGTATATGTGTGATTACTAGGTAATCTTGATCCAAAAATTTTGAAGTTTCAATGGTTCAGTGCTTTTTCTTGAATCCTATATGACTGTCATCTAATCAAAAATGAGCATTAATGTTTGAAGAGCACCACGCTATTTAACTCAAGAGGACAAACTCCTTTTAGCACTTACTATGAACTAGAAAGTATGCCATGTCCTGAGGACACAGAGCTCAGTAGCACATGTCCTGCCTTCCAGGTGCCCCAGGAAGGAAGGATTCTACAGACACAGTTCCAGTCTCATGAATTCTCTAAAGAAAAAATTAGAGAGTGAAGCAGTGATAATGATAATTTCTCACCACAAGTTTCAGTATTTCTGAATCACTCATGGAAAAGGGTGGAAAGCCAGCCAGCCTGGCTCTTTTATCAACACATCAATATGTGGAATGCGCAGTGCTAATTACACTTTTCTCCTCCGAAAATAATAGTTAAGTGTAATCAGAAATTATGAGCATGTTTTCTGCGTTGTTTTGTAAAGAATTTAATTTCACATATTTTATAAGCAAAGAAAAAGTTTCCATGTGGAATGTGAGGCCTCAGCATGACCAGAGGGACTCAGCACGGTGGCGCCTTCAGCTTGCCTGGACACTTGCCTGGAGCAGGGCCTTCAGGTGCTGGGCTGCGAGGCAGGGCAGGCCAGGTCATGTGTGGCTGGGGACTAAGTTACACATTTTCCATGAGGTCTAAGAACATTGTAGAGCCTAAGAATCTATCACCTTTAGTTATTACACTAACAAAAACCTGTAAAATAGTACATTTAAAAAAATTTTAACAAATGCAATAGCGTGCACGTATATAGGCTAGACCTTTCTCTTGAACTTCTGAGTCACACATCCAATTGTCTTCTTGACATCACTACCTGGACGACATCTCACATCTAAACTGATGAAAAGCAAGCTTCAGATCTTTTCCATCAGACCTGCTCTACCTGCAGCCTCTGGTCCCATCTCACCTGGAGGCAGCTCTATCCTTCTAGGTTAAGACTCTTAGGTCATTATTGATTCCTGTCTTCCTCTGATATCCATGTCCAATCTGTCAGCAAATCTACCCTCAAAATAAATGTCCAGAATCGAAATACATCGCCACTCCTCCCACCTCCACTGCCTCCAGCCCTCACTGGCTCACTGAAGTAATCTTATGCTGGATCTCATTCCCTACACAGCAAACAGGGAAAACCTTTCAAAACCTAAGTCAGACAATGTCAGTTCTTCACTCAGAACACTACGCTGTGCCCCTTTCATCTGGAATAAAAGCCAAAGCCCTCAAGTGGTCTACAAGGCCCTGCGCGTGCCTGACCTCACCACCCACTGTTTCCCCTGCTCACAGTCTGCTTCAGGCACCCTGGAGCCCTTGCTGCCCCTCACACCCGCCCACGTGTTTTCACCTAGGGGCCGGCGGTGGCTGTGCCCTTTGCCCGCAAAGCTCTTCCTCCCCATCACGGGCAGGGACAACTCCCTCAGGCGCGTGCCTGACCTCACCACCCACTGTTTCCCCTGCTCACAGTCTGCTTCAGGCACCCTGGACCCCTTGCTGCCCCTCACACCCGCCCACGTGTTTTCACCTAGGGGCCAGCGGTGGCTGTGCCCTTTGCCCGCAAAGCTCTTCCTCCCCATCACGGGCAGGGACAACTCCCTCAGCTCCTCAAGTGCTGCCTTCTGCTGAGGCCTGCTCTGACCACTAGATTTAAAATGAAAACTAGACACTTCCACACGTGCTGAACCCCCTTACCCCGTCTACTTTTGCTTCCCCACAGCACTTATCACCACCCGTCTACTTTTGCTTCCCCACAGCACTTATCACCACCTATTACATTGCACTAATCCCTTATTTGTTATTTTATTGTCATCCGGCTCTCACTACACTCTCAGCTCCACGAGGACAGGGATCTCTGTCTGTTCTGCTTGCCTAAAACAGTACCACCTATTACATTGCACTAATCCCTTATTTGTTATTTTATTGTCATCCGGCTCTCACTACACTGTCACAGGGATCTCTGTCTGTTCTGCTTGCCTAAAACAGTACTGAGCACAGAGTAAGCATTCAATAAATATTTGTTAAATGAAAGCCTATTAGCAATAAAGTCATTCATTTAACAGTACTGAGCACAGAGTAAGCATTCAATAAATATTTGTTAAATGAAAGCCTATTAGCAATAAAGTCATTCATTTATTATTTGAGATTATTTAAGAAAATTCAGTTGGTGTGATTCAAAAGCTTCATTTGGTAGGATTCATTAACAACTTCCCTAACATGTCTCAGTGTTGTGTGTATAGATATTTAAAACCTATCTATCTGGAGAAATTTGTTTTCATTATTGGAAGAGGCTATAAAATAGACTTACGTTCAATTATTTATAGTATCTGCATATATAACTAGTTATTATTATTATTGCATAGATTAGAGGTCAATTAATGCATATATACCTTGAAAGGTTATTTGTTGTGGAGAAAGTGTCCCCTTCCTGGAGGTAACATGTTATAGATATTTTTCAGATGAGTGGCAAGTAGGAGGTATTTATAGTGACACTGGTAAATTTTGCTATTTGTTTATGGAACATCCATAAATAGTGTATAAATAAAGAAAGAAATCAGGCATCAAAAGTTAAAGGACATAATGTTTAGCTTGACCCGCCAAAAAAATACGGTGTTCCTTTAATTTAGTCCACATATTAAAGATGTTCCTTGTTTTGTCAATGATAAATTATAACCAAATAGGGAGAAGAGTGGTGTGTTCATGCAAAACACATCACATTATCAAGAACAGATGAATTAAGAAATAAGTGGTTCCCCTTTTGAAAACCTAATGTAAGCCCAGGAAAAAGTATGTACAGAAACACCGGTTTCTTGCATTCTGGAAAGATTCTGCAGTTGTAAAATTTACCAAATCTTAAAGGTTATCATTGCTTAAAGAACAAGCCTAAATCAAATCAGAGATGTTTTAGATTTCATGCACATATGTGATGAAAAGTGAATATATGACATGTGGGGTGTCAGTTTCTTCTCGTAAATTTATTAAATGGAGTATTATAAGGCTAAAGCTGGAATGACATCTAGAGACTAGATATACTCCAAACCTAGCAGATGGGGACATTAAAACTTTATTTTACAAATGGAAGGACTAAGTCTCTGAGAAATTAAATGAATTTCCCAAATTCAGATGACTAGTTAGATCATTATTAATTACCCAGTAAAGTTGCCAGGAGAAAATGATATTGAATTCTATGCTAAAGATAATGTTTTGCCTGACAATCCCTAAGAGCTGCAAAAGAAATGTAGAGCTGTTACCGATCGATATAGGTAATAGCAAGGACGGTGCAAGTTCACGTGCCCTGATGCGCTGAAGTTAACTACATGGAGATGCTCGTGACATAACAAACAAAACAAAAGTGGAGAACAACAGGGTTAGGCTATCTTGAACTGCTAATTTTAAATATAAAAAAGTAATATCAGGGACTTAAGGGTCATGAACGGTTTGCAAGGACTAGTTGAGTCTTGTAAAGAAATGCTCTTCTGAAGTTGAGGGACCCTGAAAACTCTGGATTATCTCTTCCAGATCAGATGCTGAAACCACAAGTCAGAAAAACACAAAAACTAACTTTGATAGTTGTTGCTATTTTGGTTTTTGATAACAGTTTATGATACAGAGTTGGGGAAGAGTTTGGATGTTCACATACAAATTCATACTGACCTGTTTAGACTTGATAGGAAGAATAAAGACATAGATTTTAGAAACTAAAGCTTACTTGGTGGAAGAGGCTCATCGATTGTAGGGTAGTGATGGTGTTCAGGCCTCAGGGAAGGAAGCTGGCTTACTGGCTGGGAGTTATGGAGCATAGAACATTCACCTATGGACAAGACAGTCAAGACATTCAGATTCACTCAGTGCTTTGGCAACGTCATCAAAAAAGCATGACTGTAAAACAAACTACTGTAAGAAACAATCCCCAAAGAGTGGGAAACCTATTTTTTGTGTCGTTTACTACATTCACAGTCATTCACGAGAGAGGGAATTATTTAAAAAAAAAAAAAAAAAAAAAAAAAATCCAAACCCTTCAGGACTAACCATCTGTCCATACAGTCCAATACATAGGATCAGAGTCTGATTCTGCGACCACCTGAATTTTCTTGATGGGGAGGGGGAATCAAAAAGGAACAAAAGAGAAAAAAAAAAAAAAAAAAAAAAAACCCAAACCCTTCAGGACAAACCATCTGCCCAAACAGTCCAATACATAGGATCAGAGTCTGATTCTGCGACCACCTGAATTTTCTTGATGGGGAGGGGGAATCAAAAAGGAACAAAAGAGAAAAAAAAAAAAAAAAAAAAAAAACCCAAACCCTTCAGGACAAACCATCTGCCCAAACAGTCCAATACATAGGATCAGAGTCTGATTCTGCGACCACCTGAATTTTCTTGATGGGGAGGGGGAATCAAAAAGGAACAAAAGAGAAAAAAAAAAAAAAAAAAAAAAAAAAAAAAAAAAGCAGAGCCTGATTTTAGCCCAGCAAAGGAAACAGGCCTGCTTAGCAGAAGTGCAGCATTTGTGAGGTCCCATTTCAGGGGCTTGTGCAGAAGTACACCTCCTTGTTTGGATAGGTTGCATCCAAGGGCTGCCAAGAGGCTGTTTTTCAGATTTTGTTTTCTGTAATGAAACTCTCAGATGGTGCCTTTCTAAGATAGGCCAAGGAGCTGGTGGGGCCAAGAATGCAAATTCCTGTAGTGGGGAAGCTAGGGCTGGGGTGGGGAGTCAAGGTGCTATGGGATCTCAGGACTGTTCTGGATTATTTTAAGGAGGAATCAGAAAAGCCAGGGTGCTCTGGAAAGAGAAATGAACAAGACACAAAGGAAGTAGATAAAAAGCAGGAAGACTGAGACAGGAAAACTAGAAACACAGAAGAGGGATAGGAGGAAGAAAGACAGACATAGAGAAATTTTAGAAATAAACATATCCACAGAATGCATGCCTCAGATTATTATAGACACAGCTCATACTGCTGTTAGTTCAGACTCATGGTGAACTGAACAATATTCTAAAATGGTGTTCCAGTTTGGATGTCCTCAGGCGTGTGCAGTAGCCATGTAGACGGGAGGCCTACAGCACCAGGGGTTAGGGTCACATAATCACAGGCTGTTGCTCTTGATCTCTGGAGAGCTCCAAGGGCCCAGGACACAAGACAGCCTCCATGCAGACCGGCTTCCTCCTGCCTCACACCAGGCTGGTTTTCTTGCAAGAGCCCTTCCTGGCCAGAGAACAAAGGTCAGGCCTTTTCCTTCCTCTGCCCTCCAAGGCTAATGCAAATAGAAAGTGTTCCATTATCCTTTGGGTCAAATAGGAGGGAAACTGTGAGGTGAAAATCTGTGAAGTGGTTGAGATCTTTGTGGGATCTCAACCTGAATATTTCACAGAATGTCCACAAATGGAAAGGATGATTATTTCTTCTGACTCTTGTTCCATAGAAATGATCAAAAAATAAAATAAATAAATAAAATAAAATAAAATAATTAATTAATTAGGAAGGAACTTAGATGGGTTTAATTTAGTGGTTTAATTCCCAGAGCTAATTGGTAACCAAAAACAGAGATGTATTCAGGACCCTTTTAAATGTTAAATATACAGCATAATGTTACTTCTTGTGCAAACTCTTGTATGTTACTCAAATCCTCTGGATCCTTGGAGACTCTAGTGCAATCAAGGGAGGTGCCCTCATGCCAGCACCAGTTCATTGTGCACAGACTGCTGTTTCAAAGGTGGGTTCTGTGTTAAATGGATGCCACACATCTGTTTTTATATGTTTAGTGTCCAAAATTTTAAAAAAAAAGGTGCAGTTGTTATGTCATCAGCTGTTGCATTTTTAACTTAGTTTCTTTAAAAACAACACACTTACCTTGCTGTAATTAACTCAGCCAATCAGGTTAATTACTCCTCCAAGATAGTGGAAATACAAAACTGTCCACTGCTTGGGGTTAAAGGAGCTGATCCCCCCTGCTGTGAGCCCAAGCAAATGCAATGATGTGACTGACACGTCTCAGCCACGTGAAGGATGGAACACACTGAAGCAGCAAGCAGTTCTGCTCCGCGCGGGGCTGTGGCCCCACGCAGCTCTTGCTCAAACACAGAGCAAGGGCTCAGACCTGTTAGAACATCAGACAAGGAAACCTATTCCTCAGCTGAGAGTAAGTGGAATCCTTTAAAATTCTGTTCTGTTTGTAAATAACATGACCAGCCTATAGAGAAAGTCTGCCTAGAATACTATTCTAAGCAAAGTGATTTACACCAAATAATGTGAACATTTTCCCTGAACGCAGTGCAGAGAATGTAAATTCAAAGGATTGTTTTGGATGCTTTATATAACACCACTTTAAAAGTTAGGCTCATTGCTTATCTGCCTGGAAGAATTCTCACTTGGTGACAAGCAGAGTGATTTATAGTATCATCTCATTTAATTCCTCCAATAACCCCTCGAGGTCGGTTCTACACTTATGTCCATTTTGCACCTGAGGAAACTGAGGCACAGAGTAGTTAGGTAACTTGGTAAGGAAGCGATGGGACTGAATATGAAAACAGGAGGACTGCCTCCAGGGCCTGAGCTCATAACCACAACATTATATTGCTTTTTCATTCATCTGCACAAGGTTTTTTTTTTTCCTTTTTGTCTTTTTTCGTGACCGGCAATGGATCGCAACCCTCAGTGTCGCGCCCGTACCGGACTGGGACCGGCCACGGGATCGCAACCCTTGGTGTTGCTCCCGCTCCTCGCTCAGCCAGTGAGCGGCCGGTCCGTATGTGGGATCCGAACCCTCGGCGGGAGCGCAGCCGCGCTTCCCAAGCGGCGCACTACAGCAGTGCGCCACCGGGCCAGCCCTGCACAAGGTTTTTAAAAACTATTTTAAATTAAGCTTTAAAAAAAGGAGACCTTTGTTGAGGGAAAAGAAACAAAAAGTAGATAAAGAGTACTAGCTTGTGTTGTTGTCTGTTTAGACTTATGATGAACTGAACTATGTTCTAAAATGGTATTCCTCCATAAATTGCTGCACACTCATCTTGTATGTGGGCACGTGTACAATAACTCTACGTAGCTAAAATAATGCAGTTCCTACAGTGAAAGAATTCACAACCTTTGAAGTCATGGTAAGGGGGCACTAGTGATTCTTACGGAAGCAGAGGGCACCCCTGCATGCACATGTTGAAGCCCTG